TACATGTCCGGGAGAGGAATGATTCATGGATGTGCAATAACAGGGTCCTGGTATGGGTTCCATTGCAGATGCATGCAGAGTACAGACACGGCGCACCCCTGGGCAAATAGGCATTAGCATCTTCTCCAGTATAGGATGGGGAGCAGACGGGCCACGTGAGTGGGCGAGATGATGTTGACAGCGTGGGGAAGGGGAAGGGGAAATGCGGATGCCACTGGGGAAAGGATTTGTTTCCTCTGAGTGCATATTTTCGTTTCGCGATGCGACGCTGTTGGTTTTCTCGGCCCCGTACATGTCGTAAGGGCGGATGGTTTGAATTCCTCGTGGTGCCTCGGACGAATCGAAGCAGCTGAATCAGTGCGTATCGCGCCATCTGTCTTGGGTTGCAACAGGTCGAGATAATCGGATGGTGCTAGATGAGTAGATGGCCGTGGAATTCCGCTGACAGAGGTGAGAAGACCCATGTCGCCTGACGAGAGTTATGCCACACCTCTGCCCGGCTGCATGAATGATGTTTATCGGGCTATACCTATTGGAAAAGACTGGCACTCAGGCGGAATGCCGGCACTGGGTCGATTGAGAGGTCGTATTAAGAGCACAACAGTCAACCTGATGCTCCCATGATGTTGCAGCATTCTTATCTTCACGATTGCAACTGTCTCGCTTATCAACTGGCTTTGAGCAGGTTACAATCGATCGTGCTCGCTTGCTGGATGCATAAGTTCCCATTGCTTCGAGCTCCAGCCAACCCCAAACACTTGAAACATCGGAGCCGCAATACACTCGCTTCCATTGCGGCTGCAAAGCCCTGCAAAAGCCCTGCAAAGCCAGACCCCAGAGGTATCGTCTTACCTTGTTATCAGGGGGTAGGCTTGCCAGATCAGATAAAATCGTACGTTAAATCCCGGTAGTACTAGACCTGGATCCTTCGTACCTAGTTAGTGATGCCTTCCTGCGGCAGGATGTATCAGGAGTTGGAGCAAAGGTTTTGGAACGAGCACAATGCGAATCACTTTCAGACTCGGTCAATGACCCTAACAATGACGAGATTCTCATCAATAAAGAGCAATGCTCGATCTCCATCAAGGACAACCCTTGTTGTCACCTCCACAAGCACTGATACTGCGTGCCTAACATACCCTGTCCGTGTTTAAGCAATATAACAAGTCAATGTTACATAGCTCTGTAATCGGACTGTAATGGGATGGGGAGGATGAGTACTAAACCCGCAGCGATATTTTAAAGCCAGATCATTAATAGCATGACGTATTGGCTAAGTAGACGGGGAGATCTTCTAGAATCTTCAAATGTCTTGGATTTTTAGGTGGCTCTAATTTGACCGCACCGATACACAAGGACGTTGCTAGTAATACAAGAAAAACGGTTGACACATTCATTACGAGAATCTAGAGCAAACAAAGAGGCCACCATGATTTTTACTATTGACGAGGGTATCACGCTTGATTCTGGTCAAGTGCTCGTCTTTGGGACCTTGGCAAAGGGCGATTCGAGTCCAAGGTTTATCACAGTTAAGTCCGACGAATGGAGAAAGGTAGTTCATCTTTCGAAGTCTCTCTCCGTGACCACGCCTTCTTCTAGGACTGATCTGAGCCCGACGCTTGCAAAGAGACTTGGGTAATTGCGAGTGAGCTTCGCTGTTACCTACCTAGGAGTGCATAGTCCAAGTCTAGCTGCGTGGCCCAACTTGCGCTTCGGCTATGGAGGCAAATCTGTGTCCATCCAGACCCATTGATGAGCTCCCGGAGGCGAATGTGCATGGCAATAGTTGGATCGCTATGTTGACGCGACCGATGCAAATGACGTGAGCGTCACATGACGACAGATAGTTGGAGTATTGGGCTGAAGTCGTGACCAACGAATAGCCCTGTCGATCCCGAGCCAGTTTCCATTCCAGCGGTCGCGTTTATAGTGCGGAGCTACAGGCGAGCCAGCGTGCCTCTGATTCGAGTTACCATGCAGCCACCTTAATAGCTAAACAGACACTATTGCCAGACGCTATACACGTTTGGGGGGCGTACAGTCAGCTGTAGGGATCGCAGGCGCTTTGAACCATGTGGGGGCGGGAGCAACGAACGGCCCCAGAAGCGCTCCAGGCTGCTCCAGGCACTCGGATGGCGGCACCTGAGCGCTGTCATCCAGTGAAGACGGCACATGCGCCAGCCCGAACACCTAACACCGAACAATGGACGCTGGATGTGTAACCCTCAATGCAACGCGCTGGAAACTCCGCTATGTCCGCGACACTCACCTAACCCACCTGTCCATCATGGAGATCATCTCGAACTGCCAGATGCTTACATCTAGCATACCGACATAGATCGAATCGTCGGTAGGCTAAATCCGCGGTAATACTGTTACTATAGCTGCCAGACTGCAGCACCGCCAGCAACCAGCTCACTGTAGCCCTCGTCTTACCTATCTTGTACGACCATACTCCCTCCTCGAAACATACATCCCCTAGACGACCGAGATGACTGCTGGAACCACGGCAGGTCCGGTCCCCAAAGGTAATACCTATCTTTCTTCTAACTACTCACTTGTCCATCTCATCCGTCGTTGCCCCAGGTGGTGGGTAGCACATCTTCATAACCCAAATCCGTTGCTTTGGCCAGCAACATGCCTTATATCCCAACTTATTCTCCTCTGTTCACCCCAATCTAAGCGCCACTTTGTCCAGTCACTTTCACTCTCTTTAGTCTATCAGCTCCTTTACCCTCTTCCATCCCCGCGTTTGCCATTCCCACTTCGCGGGGAGTAACATCAGCGATTGGTTTGCCAAGCTCACATCTACCTTCTCAGCTCGATGGGCCACTGCCATTCGCTCCCGGCAAGATGCCAACCGCTACCTACCCCAGACTATAGCCCACCGGGGCTATAAGGCAGCGTGGCCGGAGAACTCCATGGCTGCCTTCAAGGGCGCTGTCGAGGTTGGCGCCCACGCCCTTGAAACTGACCTACACCTATCCAAGGATGGCGTTGTGGTTCTCTCACATGTAATTGACCTCTCATTATTTTCTCTGCTCCACACACTTTTCTTTCTTTCCCTTCCTACTCTTCCTAAACTAAACCTTCTATTCTCAGTGGATTAGGGGGGGTAGGATAGGTAGGGCTCGGCAGCTCTTCCCAAACCGCGGGTCATTTGCTCGCGGACTCTGTTCGACTCCTTTTACCTCTCTAGCTTGGGATTTATACGCAGAGCTAACCATGGCGAACTTATGCAGGACCCTAGCTTAAAGCGCTGTTATGGAGTGGACAAGCGCATTAGTGAGTGTAACTGGGACTATCTCTCCTCTCTCCAAAGTGTGCGTGAGCCGAAGCAGCCTCTGCCGAGGTTAAGTGACCTGCTGGAGTGGCTTGCCGCACCCGGGAGAGAGGAGATTTGGCTGTTGCTCGATATCAAGGTAAGCAGCCACGCGAATATCTCAAGCCTCGGCTCGGTGCAGAGTATCCCTTTTCGTTCTATGCCGTTCTCTTGCCCACCACCATTCATTTCACACATGCAGGAGGTCTTGGCAATATGGAGGTGTATCCTGATATGACTAGGGAGGTGTGTAGTCAGTCACTGACCAGACTTGTTGTCACAGATCGACGATGATGCCGAGGAACTTGTCGGTGCCCTTTCCGACACGTTGAAAAAGGTTCCTCCCACACAGGATAAGCCCTGGGATGAACGAGTCGTCTTGGGCTGTTGGAACGTAAGTCAACCGGGGACCAGAAGAAGACCCCGAAATCTCCTATCTCCTCGACAACATTATACTTACATGATTTTTCTTTTCTTTCGACCGTTTTAGGCAAGCTACATCCAAGCCTCCCGTCGCTTGCTCCCCACCTACCCCGTCGCCCACATCACTTGGTACCTCCCATACGCCCGCCACTTCCTAAGCATCCCGAATCTAGGCTACAATGTATTCCAGAGAGCCCTGGTCGGCTGCAAAGGCTCCCGCTTCCTGCACGACGCCCAGAGCGAGGATAGGCCGGTCTACGCGTGGACCGTCAACGAGGAGCGCTGGATGAGGTGGTGCATTGAGCAGAATAACCCCGCCGGCTCCTCTGGCACCTCTACCCCGAATGAGACGAAACCACTTCTGGGAGAGAACTCTCCCGCCGGCACTTCCGCTGGAGCTAGCACCGTCAGGGGCGTGAGGTTGATCGACGGCGTCATCACCGACGACCCGAAGCTGTTCCTCGAGGTCTGCCAGAGGTGGGAGAACGAGCGGGACGGCAAGGTCGCGCCGGCCAAGGGGCCGGGGCTGGTCCAGAGCATCAGGACCGGCCTCAAGAGTTTCCTCCAGGGGTTGGTGTACCGGGTCATGTCGACCGGTTTCTTCCATTACAACAGATACGTCACCAACAGGTTGGACTTGCTTCCTAAAGACGAGACTCGTCCCAAGAGCGAGTAACTCATTGGACAGACGAAGGATATACAGCACATGTTTAGAATCGAGGGGGATTTAGCAAGCAATGCATACAACAGCTAGCGCATCTGTATCGGGACTCTTCCTGGAATCAGGATAGAGATATGAGATCAGGGATTTCACCATTCAAACTTGGATCACCCATTCCAACCTGTCCCGTCATATTCCAACATAGCACCTATTTACACGTGACAATGATCCATGGTGAAGGACAATTACAGAGCAGAAGAGGTGATGTTCATCCATTCTAAGTAATAACTTGCATTCAATTTTATCAGGGCGTCCAATTTATCTTCATAATCACTGAAATCGACAAAAGGGGACAACAGTTAGCTTCATAGTCGTGATTTTATTATACAATGTATTGTGTATTCTCAGACGAACGTGAATTCCCCCAGTATCTCTTGAGGGAGAGCACATCGTCAAGTATTCACTCCGTTCTTTTTCCGACGAAAACGCTCATATCCTTTTAAATTACATCAAGTGAACGCCAGTATGCCTGTAATGTCTGCAAGAAAACTACTCCGCCAATCCAGAAAATCTCAAAACCAATGATCGGGTGTCTTAAATTTCCACGTCGATGTCCAGGTCGAGCGATCCGATGACATCGTCGTCCATCAGGGGCTTGTGGATTCCCGGCAGCCCTTTCTTCTCCGAGAAGCTCTCTTCTTGGAGCTTCGCCAGATGAGACGGCATCGACTTGGTGGTGTTGCCCTTGGGCGTCCCGTTGGCGGCTGCGCTTGCGGCAGCAGCGTCGGCCGCATCCTTCTTGGCGGACTTCTCGTTGACGTCGTGCACGAACTTGGCCTTCGTCTTGACACGTCGGGACGGGTCGTCCTCGACCAGCTCACCGCGCGATATGGCCTGCTCGATCTCACGGGTCCGTGCCATCTCCTTGAGCTGAGCCTTGCGCACAGCCTCGGCGTTGAGACGGCGGTTTTCGCGATTTCGCTCGGCCAGACGATCTTGCTCCGTCTGCTTCTTAGACGCAGAGTTCTTGTTCGCCCCGAGGCTTGTCCTAAATGCCAGGCGCTGTGAGCCCAGCTTATCGAGCTGCTCTTGCAGCTCCTCGGCCTTGTTGTCATCTCCCCTCTCTCTGGCTTCCTCCAAAAGGCGAGATACTCGCTCGCGCTCGGATGGGTCAAAGCGCTTCATCAGCTCATTCTTTCGAGCCAGACGCGCTTTGATTTCCTCATTTGTCCACTTGTGGTTGATCAGGTTGTTGATGTCATCAACCTTGTCAGAGAGAAACGCCTTTGTGGGCAGTGTCACTCCGTCGTTATGGCACGTAACTTGATAGCGGCTGACCTCGGCCTATCTGCTGTGTCAGTTCCATCTTTCAGTACACCAATTGGGCGGGCTACATACCTCTGTAAACTTCCCGCTTGAGGCTGCAATAAAGGGAAATTCCTTAGAAGACTTGCCGTGGGCGGCCTTGACGTATTGATCCGTCACAAAAGAGCCATTTGGCCCCGACAGCGCATAGGGCCGGCTAGTTGTAAATCCTAAACCGAGTGTCAGCATGTTGTGCATGATTCGACGCGTCCTTAAACGTATGTCATACCCTTGATGAGAGCCATGCGATATTGGTCAATGCCGGTCTCAGGGTGTGGACCGAGAGCAATTCGAATATAGCACCCGATGATAGAGGCCTCAAATCCAGGTGTGAAGCAGACTTGGGCAAACTCGTTACGACCTAGTCTGACCCTGTCGTAATCGCGTAGCTCTGGTGGAGGAAGATCCTTGGTCTCATCAGGCTCCGGAGTGCGGCTCTTCGCCCGCCCGTAGCTGTCGTCACTCTCCGCGCCTGGCGAATGTGCTCGAGGAGAGTATTTGTCCCGTCGTCTCTCCTGGTCTTCCCTGCGCTTCTTCTTATCGGCCCGAGCCCGTCGGAAAGACTCGATAGCAGTCTCGTCCTTGTCCGTTCGCTGTCGCGAGCCCGTCCGTGTGCCCTCGTCGAGCTCTGCAGCATCGGCCGAGCGCTTCTGGGCGGCCTGGCGCTCCGTGTTCTCGGCCATCTGGCGCAGGCGACGGTTCACCTGCGCATTGTTGAGTTCAGTCGCTCGGTCGTTGAGGATCTGTTCTCTCTCTAATTCGCCCAGCGCCATAATCTGAGCCTTCTCGGCATGGCTCACGAACATGCCCTCGACGGGATACTTGTCATTGAAGTCATCGTCCTTTTTCGCGCGTGATGGCTCAGCTTCAGAGTCCGACTCATCCATGGGCGCAGAGTCATCAGAACCAGGACTTCGAGGCTCAGAAGACCTATTCAAGCGGTGGTTAGTACCAATGGCCTGGGAAAGCGTGCAGGTGATGGTAGCGCCAGGAGAGCGAATCCGCAACCGTGATAGTATACCCAGGCTACTACCACGGTCACAGTGATGATGATCTCGAAGGAACAAGCATATGAGATGACTGCACTTACGCCTCGCCTTCCTCCTCCGACTCATCACCGGTGCGCCGTTTAGTCTTCTTCGCGGACGCGTTCTTCGACTTCTTCTTGGGCGGAGGTGAGACAGAGCGCTCTCTGCTCTCGGCTATCGAGCCCTCGTCCCCAGAGTCACCTCCAGCAAGATCGAGGAGATCCTCATCGAGATCCGCCATCGTGTGTGTACGTCGAGAATAAAGGGGGGCGCGCTCAGCACAATGAAGCCTTTGCGACCAGCCTGAACCAGGTCCGAGAAGCTTGACCAGCCCAAGTTCCGAGCTATCGATTCCGGGTCGTCACAGGAGGCTGCAGGGTTTCGTCGATGGCGAGGGTAGATACGGATGCAAGCTAGAGATGAAGTTGGCGAATCTGAGGGTGAGGGCTGGATGAGCAAAGATCTCAGTGCAGGCGTTCAAGGTGCTCTTCGCCTTCACACAGGTCCTCCTCTGATTGGCCGCGGGCGCCCAGCAACAGCGCGCGTTACCTCAGTGCTGGGTGAAAAAAATTATGGGGCCCTACCCTGTAGCCAAGGAGCGTTTCTGCGCGGCGAAGCTTTAGTCCGAGCGCGGGTGGGAAAAGAGGAGCCAATCGGTGGGGCTGCCGGAGGCTACAGGGGGGTTCCTTCGCCCGGAAATCAATTAAGTCACTGGGAGCTATCGCATGATTTCTACCTGCGGGCACTCGAACGGCCACCGGACACCGGAGCATGCGATCTCTGCAGCCTACATCGCATTGACCTCGAAAACCAAGATGCTCGCAGCACGAACCATTGCCCGCCCGGCACGCAGGCTGTGCGCCGCGCCGCAATGCGTCTCGCTCGCCCGGTCGCTGTCTACTACCCCCGCCACCAAGGCCCAGCATGTGTCGCCGTCCGAAGCAGCACCCGGCAAAGCTGCCCCCAAGAAGCGCAAGCCGCTCACCCAGGAGCAGCGTGACTTCCTCTCCTCCGCAGTATGATCAATTCGAGTCGAGGCCGTCTCATAATCCGGAAAATATACTTACCATCCCTCTGTTACAGCTCCGAGTCAACCAATCCGGCGAGCTCGCAGCCGTCCTCATCTACACGGCCCAGGGCCCCCCCATCCTCCGCAAGCACCCCCATCTCCGCCCCCTGATGGCCCATATGCACGACCAGGAGGCAGAGCACTTCAAGACCTTCAACAGCCTCATCCACAAGCACCGCGTCCGCCCCAGCGCCCTGTACCCGCTCTGGTCCGTCATGGCCACGGGGCTGGGCTGGTCGACGGCGGTCATGGGCCGCGAGGCCGCCATGGCGTGCACCGAGGCGGTCGAGACGGAGATCGGCGGCCACTACAACGCGCAGATCCGCACCCTGCTGGAGATGGTCGGCCAGTGGGAGGCCGAGGGCTACGAGGTCGGCAAGGAATTCACCGACCTGCTGAGCACCCTGCGGAGGATCAGGGACGAGGAGCTCGAGCACCTGGACCACGCTCTCGAGAACGACGCCAAGAGTGCCGAGCCGCACTGGCTGCTCACTGGTGTAATAAGAGCAGGATGCCGGGGTGCCATTTGGGTGAGCGAGCGTGTATGAGCAGTTATGAGTACCCTAGTTTAAACCTACGGGGAATGTACAATATGTACCATTGAAAAGAATAATAGCATTGATTAGATATATAAAAAAGACTATGCATATGCTGGACAGTCGCAATTGGCAGACCGAACAAGGAAAGAAATAAACGATTGCACCTGAAGGCAAGGCAACGCCTCTATACCGTAGACTGGAAACAAAAGCTCTCTGGTTGCATGTAACGAAAACTCCAGCGCAATGCACTTGACTGCAAGGATAAAATAGAAATGTAATACAGTATCTGTACTTCGGGTCGCGGTTCAAGGACCACGTTAGGTGCTGTGACACGGTTAGCGGTTTTGCTTTTACGAATACGACTGGATGTAGTGCCAACTTACTAGATGGAAAGGGGAGCGACACCATCCACCTGGTAGCCCCAGTTACCATTTGTCTCCTCGGTCAATAACCAATCGTATGGGAACTGCACGAGATGGCCTTGGGTCAGTTTCATCAGCTCCTCTGCCTCAGCGCGAGTGGGCATATCATCAATAGTGAAGCCCCGTCGGCTACCCTTCGTCGTCGCTCTACGACGGCGTTTAACAGAGCCAACTGGTGCCGGCGAACCGTTGTGAAGATCTTTCGAGCTCGGCTTTTCTAGTGTAGAGAACGTGGTTCTGCGCTCTCGCTTCTTCTCGGGCTCCAAAAACTTCGCATGAGCATTGTCCACCGGAGGGAAAGGGGTTTCTCCTCCCCGAGAAGAGACGGGAGAGGATGCCTCATTCTCACGGGCCAGCTTCTCCGCTGGGGTCTTGTGCTCCAAGGATGCTCCCGTTGGGGTCCTCTCAACGCCTGGGCCATCAGAAGCCACCTGCTTCTCGCTCATCTCGCCCGTCTCCAAGCCAGGTATGATAATTCGAGGCTTCTCCTCATCTTGAGAACCAATGTTGGCCTTCTCAGCAACCTTGTGTGCCACCTTAACAGCTTGTTCCTCAACAGCTTTCACAATTGCTTCAGGTCCAGGTGCACCGATACCAAGGCCAGCTGATGTTGGCCCATGGGAGTGATCCGATTTGGCGTCTGGGTCCTTGCTCTTAGGTCGTCCATCCATGCTGGCATAGAATCGTCTGCCATAGTCGTCATACTCCTGGTATTCGGCCCAAGTGAGAACTTCGGAGTCGGGCATACAGCGGAACACTCTACGGTAGAGTTTCGTATTGTTGGCGGCACACCTGTTCCAAATATCTTCAAAAAATGTGGGATTCACTGGGTCGCGCATACAATCTTTGTCAATGTGGGCGAGTTTGATATCGGCAGCCATTGGATGAACCACACCAGTAACTGCGTTTCCTGCAGAATCAACGTGAACAGGAGGCCCGCCAATGTCCGTATCGTCAACTACTGGGAGCGATGGCAGTTGTACAGCGCGAGGCAGTCCCAGCTGGTCTGTGGTGCGTCGGTCAAATGGAGGCATGGGTGGGAGTAATTCCGATCCAGGCTCAACATGGTCCAGAGATCTACTTTCGGGCGCTGGGCTGGCCACATGAGGCTCCTTTGGCGCCTGCAGCGTCCCCTTCCCCTCAGGGCCAATATTGTTAACCAGGACCTCCCGACCATTGACTACGACGGAGTCACGTCCAGCATCCAGACCTGACTCTTCAGCCGACTTCCAGTTGTCGTGGCCATATCCGGACAGATCCCGCTGGTGTTCAGGGTTATTTGTGACCCTTGGGTCGGATTCTGGTTCGTTGACGGCTCCGGAGCTTGACGACGACAACGACGACGAGGATTGTGACGAGTTCGGCTCATGGATGGCCTGAGCTGACTCCAGGTTCAGGGCGTTGTTGAAGCTGGGTAAGCGGGCTGGTGCAGATTGCTGGGTGGGCTCAAGCGAGCTTGGGCCAGCTTCGTTCTCATTTTCCTGATAGATCATGTCCATCTCCTTTTCGAAAGCCTCGCGATCCATCTCCTGCTGGCGCTCTTGCTCAAGAATCTCGTCGACATCCAACCCCAGGTGCTCACGCATAAGTCGCAGACGTAGAGTATGGGCGAATCTACCAACAAGGTATGGTTTACCAGCCATCGTCGACGATATCATGTCAGTATCTCGAACAATGGCTGCGCATTCAGAATCTCTTGTGCCAAGCATAGATCTCTCGTTGATGTTTGCAGATCCGATGAGAGCCACACGGTCGTCCACGATGATAGTCTTGGCGTGAATATACAGTTGTTCCGTAGAGAGAGTGTCGTTACCGATGATACCCCATTGTCTAAGCGAATAGAAATTGATGTAGTCCTCAGGTTCAATATCAACGGCCCGGAGACGTCCAAAGATAGACGAGTCACCTCGGCATATACTGCGGAACTGGCTCATCATAATCATACGGACGCTGGTTCCTTCCTGCTCATCCACGGTGTTTTGGAATCCGGGAAGCAAGGGCATGACGATGACACATCGCCATTCTTCTCCATTCTGGTGGGCCCTCACGATACGCTCCACGAGGGCATCGCCAATCCGGTTCACTATCCGCGTGCCATCCATCTCGGTGCTGGTTATAAAGAATTGGTTCTCTATGTAGATAAAATGCTCGGAGTCTTCAATCATCTTCAGGTAGGCAGTCTGGATGCTATGCTCCGTTTCCTCGATACCAAGTGACCAAGTGGTAGCTGACCGAAGGATTTGGACTTCGCATGTCCCTGTAAGGCCCAGAGCTTCGAGTTCTTCCATTTTAGCGTCTGGAGGTGGGAGAAGGAATGGCAGAGGGCGAGTAGGCTTCCGGCCCCGTCGCAAGTAGTTCCATCGCTGGACAAAGTGACGAGTGAGGTCCCGCGCCGGCTGGCCAACAACCTGCATAGAAACATCATGCCACGGCATGCGAGGAGTCTTGCTACGCTCATACATTTCTTCATATGGTAGATGCAGACGGACGAAGTCCTGGATTCTGGGGTTTGAGTAGTCCTTTCCAGGAAAAAGTTGGCAATGCTCCGCATCTTTGGGCAATTCAGACGGCTCAAAGCCGGTGGGCTTATCATCCGCAAGCGGATGCTGGGGGCAATCCCATCGACCAAAGCACAAGTCGATCCCGCCGACGAATCCCACATCATGATCCACGACACAGACCTTCTCGTGGTGAGCGAAGAAGAACTGGTTCTTCTTAAACTGATTGGGCGATCTTTGTACGAAGATGTTGGGGTGAAGATTGAGGAGGGAGAATTTTGTGTACTCCGAATCGATGGGAATAGCAGCCTCAACGTTTCTGTATATGATGACAAAAACCTTGACACCTTCCCGTGCCTTCTTCTGCAACAGTCTGTCGAGACGCCATTTCTGGCTGATGCAAGCCGGTCGGCGCATGTACAGTTCTGGGCTCAGCCACCAGTCGTGGATATAGATGACGTCCTTGGCCATATTAATCGCCCGAGAGACGTTCCACATATAGTCACGACCATCTACCAACCATTGGGCGAAGGCCCCCGTTCGTACAGGGGCAAAGCTGTCAAATCGCTTCTGTTGGAACCACAAAGTCTGCCGCAGCATCTCATTGATGGATTCTTCAAATTGCCTCATGACAGCTTGGTTGCCTGAGAAGAGGCGCACCTGCCGCTCTGATGTTTGGAGAGTCAAGGTATGATGCTTCTCCAATTGGGGTTCTGCTGTGAGGTCAATCACCTTGACTTTCTGGCTGTCCCTGATCGTCTTCTTCAAGGTGTTCCTCTTAGAAACGATGTTGAATTTCGAATCTACCAGGTAGACGTCGTAAATGTTCATGTTCTCTGGCGATTCAACGCAAACAATATAACTCTGACGGACCAAGAACCATTTCCGGCTATGGCGCGATATGACTTTAGCTGGCGTCAGAACACGGCGGAAATCGAGGCCTTTGGAAGATTGAATGTGGAGATAGCCTTCTTTTCCATGATAACTACCCTCTGCTGCAAGACGAACACCCAGGGCAGACAGCTCAAGGAATCGACACAGCCGATTGCTATCGGCTCTAAACATGAGCCATCGGATCATTTCTGACAAATATTTTTCCAGGATACGCCGCTGTTTCTCAATATATCGCTGTCTCCGCGTAGCGTGGTCCAGAGGTTGTCCTTCGTTATTTGAAACATCACCAGGCTCGGTCATGCCCGTTGACCGTCGCCGCATCCCCAGAAGATTACCCCTAGATTTGCGTCTTGGTGTCATCGGAAACCCTTCTGCTTCACTCATAATTGCGTTTCCGCCTTCTTGCGTCAAGCGCTCGCCACCAGCCCCTTCACCATTAGTTTCGTCACCGGCAGCGCTGCCTTGATCTGAGTCACTACTCTCTCCCTCCTTACGAGCTCCTCGAAGGTAAGGGAAGGCAGAATAAGGGAACTTGGGCTGTTTCAAACGTGGTCCGAGGCTAAGCCCTGCTGACATGTACTTCTCGTTTCGCAGGGCGAACTTGTAACGGAAATGCAGATTGTAAATGTCTTTAATCGTGCGAATGACAGTCCAGCTCATTCTGCTTGGCCCACTGCCGTACTCGAGCTCGATGGTGAATATCCAATGGCGGTCACTGTCATCATCGGGATCAGGAGTGCTGTCTTTGATGTTGAGCTTCAGTTGCTCGAGAAGAACGGGGATACGCTTGTTGCCATGCTCGTCACGTTGAATCATACTAGCCAACATCAACACAGCGGGAGCTCCCGCTCGTAGTTCCGCCATCAGTTCAGCAGACTTGTAATAATCAACACGATCCTCTTTCTTCTGGCGGAGAAGTTTCAAGGTATTCTTCACCTGCTTCCACTTGTGCGCACCGTAAGTTGAAGCTTGTGTCAGCCTCGGGCGCTTAGTGACGATAGCATCTCCGTCCGAAACGCCACCGCCACCAGTACCTCCACCGAACACGGTACTTCTTCGTATATGACCCCTTCTTCGCCCCACGATGACTGCGTTCTCGACATCAGGCTGCTCATCACCGACAGCGCGCCCACCAAAACCTCGTCTCCAGGTCGATGCCCGCCCAGAAACCCGGGCTTCGTCTTCTGACATGGCATGATCCCGTAACGAGGTATCAGGCATGCTGGCTCGACGTCGGAGAAAGCGCTCTGTCCTCCCAATAAGCTCCGTATCGTGACCAGTCCGTTTAGGAGTGGACGGGGCTGATCTTTCACCAGGACGGTACCGTCTCAGTCTGCGCTTTTGCTTCTTTCTCTTCTTCTTCTCTTGCTCAACTCCCGGTATATTACTCTCATCTGCCGTCTCTTCCGCATCCGCATCCACGTCGGATGCAGCCTCGGCCACGGAGGGCGCACGTTGACTGGCAGGTCTCATCGCAGATAATGGACTCGCGGGGAAGTCGACAGATGGAACGGCAGATTTTGGTGTTGGCAGAGGTGAACCAGTGGCCATGGCCTTGATCTTGGACATGAACGATGGGCCAGACTTGGCCTTGATGAAATCTATCCCCTCCAGAGACTCATGCCGTGTGTGTATTGGCACCTCAGGAACATCCAGTCGAGCAAACTGTACACTCTTCCTCGAGGCTGCATCTTGTGTGTTGGGATCGTTGAGGTCGGGACCGGATCTCTCGCCGAATCGCTGGTCGTTCGCAAACGGGGGGAGTGGCGGCAGTAGATTCTCGTAAATGGTCCCATTCTCGTAAACGGTTCCCTTCTCTGCGAAAGGCGACGGGCTTGGTGATCTCAAAATCGTTATGGCATTGCTGCTGGGTGACTCCGGAGCCTCCGTTGTTGGAGTTTCAGCACCTGAACCTCCCTTCTTCAGAATGGATGGAGGGGCGAGGAGACCGTCGGGTTTTGAGGGCGCTACCTGTTCAGGTTGATTCTCGACAATCGGGGTGGACGAGGCATTCGAGACTTTAGTTATTGGGGTAGGAGCATCGTCTCTCTCCAGCTCGCCCATCTTGGAGGCAGCTTAAAGGCTGGCTTCTAAAAGAGAATGTACAACAATGTGTATCTTTATAAAGTGTGTGCGATGACCAATCTCAATCAATCTACAGGATAGCCAGTCCAACGTAGCATAGCGAGGCCGCGAAACGACTGTCGAGTTGAGCGGGTGGCGACGGCCCCTGTCTCTTGGAATCGGGAACGCGATGTCGTCGAGGTCGGTGGACCATATGCGTGCGATGGGCAGGACGAACAAAAGCGAATTCGAGAAGACAGGCAAACCAAAATCGCGCGCACAAATACAATCCGCTTTCGGGAGAGCAGGACCTGTTGAGCCGGACTCGTGACAACAGATCATGCGCTCGCCCACGAGTGAGGAAAGACGGAGGCCAGGGATGAACATTGAGCCCAGCCTACGCACTGGAGCTGTCTGAGACCAACCTAATACAATGGGAGGGACCAAGTGTGGGGAGCCACGAACCAAACCTTCAGCTTGTCAGAGGGGCCTGTAACTTTGAAATTGGGGTCTATCCGGCACTCATTTCAACGGTACTTTGGTTACAGTTGGGCCTCCGCCTACTCAGAGGTACCCAATATCCCTCCCCTTGACGCTAGTAGTACAGTGACTTTACGGGGCTTCCGCTGGGTTGCACATAGCACCACAATAATTTTGTTCGTATCACTATGGCTGTTATCTGGTTTACCTGTTCATCCAGCGGTTCTTGCCTGTAGAGGGAGCCATGAAGATACAGCACCGGCATTCAACCTTGAGAGCCCAAAGGCGACTGGACTCTTGGACTCGTGGTGCGCTACGTCAGAACAAGACCATGCCATTATAGGCTAGATGTGGTGACCAGCGAGCAAATGAATACTCGCAGCAACTCCACGCTACAGGAGGTCGTGCGTGGTTGGACGCATCACGGCTGGCTTCACATCCAAGGTCACGCACCCCCCACCATCACATGAGGCTGCGAGTGTCTTTCACTCCCTTTCTGATTGGGCAACGCCCTCCACGCAATCTATCGCGCCGTGCCTTTTTACCTATCACTAAGGGTCTTTATCAAATCAGGCGCTCCCAGAGTTCAAGGATAGGAAAACGCACAACAGAAGATTTATGTCAGAGAGCTGTCCACACTATGCCGAAGTCAGACATTCGTTCGCCACCACCACAACAAGATTAGTTCTCACTGTAGATCAAACACGACATTCTTCTCGTAGTAGAGTTCAAAGCCACATACAACTACTAGGCTTGCCAAAATAACCAATCCCAACCGTCTATTAAAAATACACAATGACCCGTCTCTCAGCCGGCAAAGAATGCAATAGTATCTTCTAGATCACCTCCCATGCCGGTATCATTTGGGTTGGCACTCTGTTGCACTCGGCTGTCTCTTTGGACGTATTACTACCCACGTGAGTTAAAACCAATGTGACTTCTGTATTCAATGGGATCTTTTTAAATCGTTCTCAAATCTTGACGGCTATACTTTGGCTGCCAGTCAAAGCACTGTCGGCCGATGGTTGCTTCCATCCTAAGCAGGATTTGACTGTGCTGTTCCCATAGGCTACGCAACGACCAGATCTGTTCTGGCCACGGCCAACATAAAAGGGAAGATTTGAAAATGTAACATTAGGAACAAACGTAAATATTCTCTATTTCCCACTTACTACAGCAGGGCATCCCCGTCAAAACCCTCGATTGCTCTTCTTGTTCGCCACGTACTCGTGACCCTGCGTAAGCCACTTATCTTGACTCTCTCGCCTAGAGTTGTATGCTTTCCCGCTAAAGCTCGTCACCATAGCGAGTGAATCCAGAAATATTATGATTCTTCATCTTACTGTTCCCTGCGATCCTTTCTTTTGTGCAAGGCTGCTGCTAACCCTGTGAAACTTCCCGCCAAGAGAATTAGTTGTCTTCATGCAACTTGATGAACTCATACTCGAAAGATCTCGGGCAGTTGGCAAGAGAATCTACTCCAGAGCAAGCTTAGATAAGTCAGCTTAGAACCATTCATGAAAGACTCAGTGTCTTGGCGGAACTCGTTCTCACCCTTGTTAACTTTACTACCCGGGACTATTTCTTCAACATGCTGAAGGCAAAAAAGATTTTTCTACCTGTGGAGGAAGTATTTGAGGGTATCTTCATTGATACTGAATATTTTTCACAAAAATTGTCTTTTCTCCAATATTTCTTACGACAATGCGCTTGCCTTGTTTTCTCGTGGCTTCTTGCAAATATGTATGTGCAATGCCAGGTATGAGTGATTCCTTTATCGCACATGGATGACTTCCATAGACATGCCATAAACAGTGTTAGGTTCCCACCTAAAGCTCCTTTTCTTGTCTGCGGGTTAATATTAAGAGTTATACATCCGCAAGGACGCGTTTAACTCCTGCATTCGTGAGCATCGAGGGATTTCATATCAGGGCTATCGTAGAGAGCAGTATTAGCTTCTTTTGTGCCTTCTGTTGGATAATACAGTGATGAATTGTAGTTTCAAGTTCAATATCGTACTAGTATAGCCAACTTAGCCACACTCATATGAAAGAAAGCGACGTGCATGCAGAACAAGGTATTATCCATTGATTTTTGACGAACATGTTATCCAGCAAGATGTCCCGGGGTAGATTGTCTAAGTAAAACACCAAGTACTGTACCACCACGACTGGATGCGGATGACCGTTTAGCCTTGGGGGAGCTCTGTAAGCTTATCCTTAAGAGCGACAAGGATGGACTTCAGAAGCACCCCAAACTACCTCCCAAGAAACTCGTCCAAATCCTGTTCTGCAACCGAGAGGCATGATAGTATGTATACTACTCAGTTTCAGGAATTGGGGGGACTTTTCATGTGCCTGGAAATTGTTTGCAAAGTCATGCGGCTTCGCACCCTTCGACATACACGGCACACGAAGGCTGCAGGAAGCAGTGCGGCGGTCGTATTCGTATGGAACAAATAGTATCCCGCCCAAATTACAAGCGTAAGACAGAGAGGGTGGTGTGGGAATTCGCTGATCTCCTACCAACCATGCAGGAATCGTCTAGCTCCGATCAGCTACTCCAGCCCAGTACCAACGCGCATGCCAGCTTCATGTGGCCATTGTCCCCAGGACCAACGTCCACTGCCATTTGTCGTGGCCTCCCCGACGAGCACAGAACTGTCACTTTCGTGTAGCACGTGGGGCTTCTCCTCGATTGCTCCGTCGTGAGGGTCGAGTCCCGCAGCTCAACAGAACAGCAGCACTGGCCACTCGCAGATGCTATCTATAGGCCAGCTAGACGAGAGCTGCAGCAGAAAGCGGCCCAATCAAAGCTAGGAGGCATGTGCAATTAAAAAAATGCCACAGTCGCAGTGGAGCGATGATCAGGACGGGACACCCCCCTGAATGGCCCTGAATGGCCATCCCCCCGGCAAATCTCCACCCAAAGTCAACACAACAGCCCCGGGGCACCAATCGCGGCGCGCCATCGAGGTAGAAGCACTAGGGGCAATTATTCTCCTGCGCGACGACGATTTTAGTCCCCAAGGCTGGCCTCAATTGCTTCCCGCTGCTGTCTCTCTTTGCTGCAAATCCTCGGACCCTTCCCCCTCCCTCATGGCTTTACCTCCACGAGCTTGTTGACGCATCTCTCGTGTAGCTTCCTGGTCACATCGGCCTGCTTGGGCAGATAGTCGCACGCCAACACAGACTCGCTGTGTCCGTCCACCTAGACGCCTTCCTTCTCGACACGCCCATCTCGCTCCCTAATGCTATAAGAGGCGGTCACCGCACCCCAATTAGCCATCATGTCGACCAGATACTCTCTCCGGCAGACGCCAAAGTAAGTCCTGCAGCTCTTGCATTGCCCGTTGGTCCTCAGCCCTTTGGGGCTGTTTTCTGCATTTTCGTCACATAGCCCCTTCTCTCAGCTGTTGTGCGCTTCCGACCCTACTTCATTGGCCACCCCCAACCATACATATCGTTTTCCAAAACTAACAGAGTTGTTGTGCAGAAAAAAGGAGCCCTTCGCTGGAATGGTAGAGACCCCTACAGTCCGCCGCTCTTCTCGTCGCCAATCCTCGGTTCCCGCTGAAGCTTCAGACGTCGAGTCTACCTCGGCCACAGAAAAGCCCGCCCGTCCCACTCGTCGCCGCACTGCTCGTTTCTCTGAAAATATGGACGACGACGTTGAGGTGAAGTCGACTGCCGTTGATGCTGGAAATGCCAACGGTGTCAAGCGAAATGTTGAGCCTACGCCCGCCGCCACCAAGCCCGAGGTCAAGGTCACGCTGGTTGATGGCTGGAAGCCTGGACAAGACCCCAAGATTGACTACTCTGGCGAGTTCGAATTTGGAGGCTCGTTCGGAACCCTCTCTCTCATGATCTTCTTCCCTGTGCTCATGTGGTATATGTGGATCGGTGCTACCTACTATGATGGCAAGATCCCCACACGAACACCTGGCCAGAGCTGGTCTGACTTTGGTGCTCACCTCGTGAACTTGATCTACACTGGTGCTTTCCCTCATACCAAGGCATGGGTCTGGTACTGGAGCTATCTCATTTTCGAGGGTGCCTGCTACTGCCTTCTCCCTGGTGTTTGGGCCTATGGCAAGCCTCTTCCTTTCGAAGGAGGTAAGCAGCTGCCATACTACTGCAACGGCTATGTGAGCTTGTACTTCAGTCTTGCTATCCTGGCCATCCTGCACTTTACTGGCATCTGGCCCGTGTACAATGCCATTGACGAGTTCGGCCCCTTGTTGTCCGTCGCTATCTTCAGCGGTTTCCTCGTTGCCATTGTGGCCTACTTTTCTGCTCTGTACAGAGGCAAGCAGCACCGCATGACCGGATACCCAATCTACGATTTCTTCATGGGAGCTGAGCTCAACCCTCGCATGTTCGGCATTCTCGACTTCAAGATGTTCTTCGAGGTGCGCATGCCTTGGTACATTCTCCTCATCCTGAGCCTGGGTGCTGCTGCTAAGCAGTACGAACAATACGGCTACGTTTCTGGAGAGGTTGCCTTTGTCGTCATGGCTCACTATCTCTATGCGAATGCCTGTGCCAAGGGCGAGGAGCTCATTGTTACTACCTGGTAAGACCAACTGCAAGCCATGCTAGATCTCACGCACTAACAGAGACACCTAGGGATATGTACTACGAGAAATGGGGCTTCATGCTCATCTTCTGGAACCTGGCTGGTGTGCCCCTTTCGTACTGCCACTGCACCATCTTCCTCGCAAACCATGACCCTGCTGAGTACCGATGGAACCGATTTGCTCTTGTCCTCTTCTACGCCGCCTACCTGTTCTGGTACTGGGTTTGGGACAGCTGCAACAGCCAGAAGAACCGCTTCAGAGCCATGGAGAGCGGCAAGGTGGTCTGGCGCAAGACCTTCCCCCAGGTTCCCTGGCAGACCGTCCACAACCCCAAGACTATCGTCACGCCTCAGGGAACTATCCTTGTCGATGGATGGTACGGCCTTGCCCGCAAGATCCACTACACCGCTGACGTTTGGTTCTCCGTTTCTTGGGGCCTCATCACCGGATTCAAGAGCCCCTTCCCATGGTTCTACCCCGTCTTCTTCTGCTGCATGATCGCCCACCGTGCAGCTCGTGACATTCACCGCTGTCGAACCAAGTACGGCGACGCCTGGCTCGAGTACGAACGACAAGTTCCTTTCCTCTTCATTCCCGTAAGTCCACATGCAGAACCAAACCATCGCTAGTCATACAAACTAACGTTGTCTTTTTCAGTACGTCATTTAAATATGGAAATGAAGAGTCTCTTTCACAGGGGCATTCTTTCGTAGCGCCTAAATTATCTTGGCTGCAACTTGTAGAGTATATACTTATGCTTCGGGACTGTATAATTTTCCACGGGGCATTGGCTGGGGGTGCTATTTGATGGGTGGGGGAAACGGGTCGTTGGGAAAAAAAGGGGGGATCAGTGGTTAATGGGTTGTTAAAAGAATATCTTGTAATGTCATGTACTGTAATTTCATTATTCCTTCATTCCGAGGCAGTTCTACCTATGTACAACGAGAGGACCCTACAATACCTAAGAAGCTACCGGAACAAGTCATGGCCTATTACATGTGAATGCTAGCCAAACACATCCAAGAATGTCTGAGAAAGATTTATGTTGATTCTCCTTTGCAGCTATCGCTCAGTTCATGCGGGATACGTGTCATGATACATGTAAGATGGGATAAAAGATGAAAAGAAACTAAAAATTGATCGATTGACAAAAAATCTCACATCCTCCGCCAAACACTCTATAAAGAAAAGCCACTCCACAGACCGCAGCGTGCATGCTGACTAGTGTACATTTCCATATCCTCCCATCTAGGGGTCGAATCACGTTTGTGTGCCAGGTCCAGAATAAAGTACCATATCACCACCGAATTTGTTGTTGCTCCCAGAAACTCAAGTACAGGTGTTCCGGGACCGTTCTGAAAACGCGAGAAATACTTGACGGCTCGCCAAAACTTGGCCAGGGTTGCCGAGTCGCGTCCCGGATTGATGCTTGAACTTATTTAATCCTTGCAGGTGGCGCCGAGGGTAGCCTTCGAGTTCATGAGCAGAGCAACAATCAGTCCGTAAAGACCTATCGAGAAATGTTAGGAAACCAATAGATCACAACCAAGATGCAAAGAATAAGTCATGACGTACCCAGAACTTCAGCGAAAATGAGAATAAGAATCATGCCGACGAAGAGACGGGGTTGCTGAGCAGTACCACGGACACCAGCATCACCGACGATACCGATAGCGAAACCAGCAGCAAGACCAGCGAGACCGACAGACAGACCAGCACCGAACTGGATGAAACTGGTGTAGAGGGGAAGGTCTTGCTTCAGACCATCGGAGATCAGGACGGACACGACGAGACCGTAAATACCAATGATACCAGCCATAATGACGGGAACAATGTCTACGGAGAGGTTAGATGGAGTCCTTCGTCGCGAGCGCTTTTCCGCGACAAGCCGTATTCACGGGGGAACATACTCTTCACGATCAGATCAGGTCGGAGAACACCCATGGCGGCAATACCAACACCGGACTTGGCGGTACCGTAAGAGGCACCCAGACAGGTGAAGACAATGGCGCAGGTGCAGCCCATAGCACCGAAGAAGGGCTGTTCCAAGTTAGCTTCAGATCCATCACAAGCGATCATGTAGTGTTGATGCGGGTGTTGTTTTGGCGGCCTCAATTGGACACCTATTTGCAGGGACGTCGTTCGGAGGGTAATTGGAGACTAACCGAGTAAACGGGGCTGCGAAAAGATACAGAGTTAGCTCAAATAGATCCTTTCACGGTGCGAGGCCAGGTTGCACGATGACAATCTGATGCCGTCGGAGATGGCGATAGCTTGGGAAACCATGTCCCTAGCTTGATTACGCTCGAAGGGGGCGCGCGCTGACGTACCAGTATTCGGAGACCATCTTGACGGTATTAAGCTAGAAAGCTAGACGTGTAGAATCGAAGAGAGAATATGGAGCTGTGGCACAAGGAAAGCTGGGAGTTGGCCGGGAGAGGAAGCTTCGGTGATGAGCTGTCGATGGCGGTAGTTCTGGCAGAGGATGATGGATCGTGGCTGGCGTTCTGGCGCAGGCCAGTTTCTGCTCAGGGAGCGAACTAAGGCAAGTTACATAATGTCGGCGCGGATTAATGATAGTCCTGTCATATCCGAAAATAGTTTATGCGCTTCGGAACCATGCAGGAGGCGTCAGTGGTATGCAAAGTGGGGCGCTTATCAGCGACGTAATTTTGGAGTCAGAGTTAATCCCTAAGCAGATCCTTCCACCAATATAAGGTCATCGCTGTTCACGACTCTGGGGTAAGCCAATGCGAGAAGCCCCGGGGTAGATTGTGTCGCCTCTTATTGCTTTAGTGCTGGTAACAAGTCTCGTGACAGTCTACCTACTTGCTTAGTTTCGAATATTAAACCCATGCGATTGAGGAGTAGCCAGGCCCTGGCGGGTACTAAGCAGCAGGAAGAGCTTCTAACCTGACTCAGTCAGCTACTAATTAACTTGCGCCGAGATCAAGAACGGAGCAAGGCGACCAAGACTTGAGATGAAAGCAAACCATCAAACCTGCTGTGCACCCTACACACTGCTCTTTTCAATGCTGTCCTCCATGTCCGTCTTCTAGAACCATCGAACACCCAGGATAGCCAGAACCCTGTACGTCTACACGAGCAGCACCTCGATTACAGTCCACCAGCAGTTCCCATCACCAGTGCCCACGATGCGGACAAGCAAACGCGAAACGAGGCTACAATTAAACAATAACAAGTATGAAGTTGCGCTTAAGGTTGGATTGGGACGTAAAGATTATGTACCCGTCTTGGATACTACAATTGGCGTAATTCTACATCTCGGCGGATGACTATCCAAGCCTTGCACGTCGACTCCTAGCCTCCGTAACAGTTTAGCATAGAACAGTTTAGTACATACTGCGTTGGTGCAGGATGCGGCGGTGCGTGTGTGGTGTCTGCATCTCTGATAGGCACATTTCGCAGCTCCCCAGAAAGGTCATCCGATGACGTGAGGGAGGGTCCAATGACACGCAGAGTCTGGCGACAAGTGCGCTGGTGGCCCTTTCACTGGTCCTGGTGACTTGCTCCTTCAGGCTGGATCCAACCCACCAGTGCATGCATGCGATGAGTGCCTGCCTGCGCTGTACAGGACACCCAGGACCTGGAAAAAATGTTGCTCGGGGCCATCCCTAGCCTTCTCCCATTGTAGGATATCCCACATTGCGATTGCGCAGAGCTCTCAGCTTCTTCTCAATCCTTCTCAGTCGCATCTCTCTCCCAAGCACAGCGCGAGTGGGGATAGTACGTCCCTAGCGAAGCCCCGCTGGATGATGCCTGGAATAGCCAGGAAACTTCTCATATCTGCTGCCCCTGATGGCCTCATAATCCAACCACTTTCCGCCAAAGGCCAGAGGCCGTTTCACCCGCTCAGGATAGGCTACGGAGATGCCATCATATCCACGGCCTCAAGGGAGCAGGTGCCCGACTCAACACCCCCCGACTCATCGTTCGAAGCATTTGGCATCATAGGTGAGCAGCCATCCACTTATATAGCCAAAAGGGGCTCCCTCTGAATTATTCCACAAATAAATGTAGGGCTATTCACTGTCTCGAGACTCAGCTATCTCGTTACAATTACCAAACGCCAGCAAGTAGCTCAAGTTTATGGTTCTCCAATCTATGTTGTGACGGAGGTTGCGTTGACACCCTGCTCATCTCGGGATGATGCGGAGGAGGCTGTCAAGAATACTTCAGTCTCATTACGAACTGATGCGCCTCAATCAGCCTCGAGCGATGGTGGAGAAGAGACCGATGAGGATGTCGAAGTACCAGCCGCCATCGCTGATGACATTGACGACGCCATTGCGGATGATGATTCAGGGCCGAACTCGACCCGAAGCAGCGTGGCCGAGGATGTTATTCGTAGGCGAGGTAGCTATGGAAGATTTGCGCAGCGCTGGTTCAGTGGAAGCGGGTGGACTTTGGAGCAGAAGAGGTCCATGGGAATGAGCAACTCGCCAACCCTCCCGCCAGTATCAGCCAAAGCCGTACCAGTCCCGGACATTGAACCAATCACCCAGACTCAGGTCTCCAACTTACTTCCGAAGCTTCTGCGGACAGCTCAGATTCTCTTCGGGGCCTCACGTAGCTTTTATTTCTCCTACGACTTCGATATCACCCACAGCCTCGAGCACAGGACGAGGTCTACAAACACTGACACACCGCTCTATACTCAGGTTGACAGATTTTTCTTCTGGAATAGACATGTCATGCAACCATTTATCGATGCTGGGCAGGATTCTCTAGTTCTGCCTGTTATGCAGGGATTCATTGGCGAGCGAGAATTCGCTGTTGACCGTAACCCGCCCCAGATCGATGAGTTGGCCAGAGATTCCGTGGAACTGTGCAACCTCTCACCTGCCGAGGCTCAGAAAAATCAAGAATGGTTGGCAAAATTAAAGACGAAATCCAGCCGGAGATCATCGGAAGAGAGTTATACCGTCATCTTGATATCACGTCGCTCGACTAAGCGTTGCGGCCTGCGTTATCTTCGACGAGGTATAGACCAGGACGGGTTCACCGCCAACACAGTTGAAACCGAGCAGCTCCTCTGTCCCACTCAATGGAGCCCTTCGGGTCGTGCGTATTCTTTCGTGCAAATACGAGGCAGCATTCCCTTGTTCTTCACGCAGTCTCCCTATTCCTTCAAACCAGTGCCTGTTTTACAGCATTCGGACGAGGTAAATAGGAGGGCCTGTCAGAAACACTTTGAAAAATTGCTTCGTAATTATGGCGCGATTCAGATTGTCAACCTGGTCGAAAAGCATGGCATTGAAGAACCCATTGGCACCCGATACGAACGTACTGTCTCATACCTGAACAATTTGGCTCAGGGGGACAGGGACGAGGAGTCTGGGTCACTGGAAACATGGCCCGCCGGAAAGACATTGGATTTCGAATGGTTCGATTTCCATGCAGCATGCCGTGGTATGAGATTTGAGAACGTGAGTATTTTGCTGTCTAGTATGAAAAACAGACTCGAGAGTTTCGGGAGCACAAAAGCCGAGGGGGGCAATATTGTTCAAAACCAGTTGGGTGTCTTACGAACCAATTGCATGGACTGTTTGGATCGCACCAATGTCTGCCAAAGTTCATTTGCAAAACACATCCTGGAGGTGCAATTGAAAGAAGAGGGATTTGATATGAGTGCACAAATAGATCAAGAAACGTCTTGGTTTAATACTCTCTGGGCCGATAACGGCGATGCTGTCTCGAAGCAGTACGCATCAACCGCAGCCATGAAAGGCGATTATACTCGCACCAGAAAAAGAGATTATCGCGGCGCACTCAACGACCTTGGATTATCCCTCGCACGCTTCTACAGCGGGTAAGCCTCTCATTCTTCCATTACGGTTGTTTTTCTTCAACTAAACGTTGTGTGCAGGATGGTAAATGATTACTTCAGTCAAACAGCCATAGATTTCCTCCTAGGAAATGTAACCGACGGGGTTTTCGATGAGTTCGAGGCTGATATGATGACGAAAGATCCAGCCGTATCGATGAATAAGATGCGGGAGCAAGCTATCAATCTCTGTCAAAAACGCGTAGTAGCAGATGAGACAGAGGAATACCATGGCGGGTGGGTTCTTTTGAGCCCCAATGCGTCAGACCGGATCAAATCAGATCCTATGGAAGAAGTTGTCCTCTTGCTTACGGACGCCGCTCTCTATCTCTGCCGCTTTGACTGGAACCTGGACAAGGTCTCGTCGTTTGAGCGCGTTCACCTTGCGAGCATCACGGGCATCAAACGTGGCACATATATCACATCTACTATATCCACATCTCAGACCGATGAGTCGAAAAACGTTGGATTCGTAGTCTCATATCAGCCAGGAAAGACCGATATCAAACGAACCAACACACGAACCTTATCAAGCAAGGGAGACTTGGTCCCTGGTCCCCGAAGCGAGGATAAAGGTTCCAATAAGCCGCTCAGCCTTGTTACGTTGTTTTCGGGTGGCTCGAAAGCTCCTCCTCCTGCACGAATCATTGCCTTCAAGGCACCGTATACGGAGTCATCCATAGTTGCTTCGGGCTCTGGCCCGAACCAGACGGAACCGCAGCAGGTATCCAGCATCTGCGCAGAGATTGAACGCCTTACACTTCAGCACCACCTACACAAGAGTAATGAGGAGAGGAAGGGGGTTGTAGAGGACGGGGACATCATTTCTTTGGAAGAGGCGAAGCGGAACACCGGCTTGCTAGAGCATTTGGGACATTCCATCAAAAAACTTGTTTGGGCGTAATCGCCAGGAGACGTATAGAGTCGACATAAAGTCGAATTGGCAGCACTCTGTATGCACTAGAACTAGATAATAGAATTTATGCGGGGGGCTGCACCTCTAAGCGGTAAAGATGGACCTGATACCGCATGTTCTCAAGTTGCATTGGATATGATAACTCGTCAGAGAGCCTGCACCAGACCGATTCGTCAGACTCGAGCTTCTCCCACTTGATGCCACTGACTTTGTTGCTCAGCAGGGTGTGGTCTAACAGCCATTGCATCGGATACCGTTTCTTCTCCTTGCCGACCGTCGCCTCGGAGTAACTCCCGGGGCTGTCAACGACGAGCAGAAGGCTACCGTTTGGCAGAGACTGTCCCAGGTTTCCCAGGAATTTGGTAGTCTTGCCGAGTCCACCATTTGTATATAATTCATTCAGTGTGAATAAGATGGTGACGACGAGAGGGTCTTTGCCAATCATATGCTTGAGGCTCTCAAGGTCAAGGTCCAGGACGTCTTGCTGCTTAAAATCCACTGATAGCTGTGATGGCTTGACGAAGGCGCTATTCGACGCCTTCGCAACCTCAGAGGCGAACGTTGAAATCTGGGGAGGGGTTGTGAGCTGGTCCTGGAGTAGTGTAACCACGCCAGACCACGGGGCCGAATCGATGAGGGTCAACCTGCCCGAGAGTTGCGGCGCCTCGCGCAGGTACTGGGCAAAGGCGGCATGCTCTGCCGCGCAGCCTCCAATGGAGAGCATCCGGAAGGTTCGGTTGCTCTCTGTGCCTGTCCTTGACGCTGTGGCGCTGCTGCCCGCCGGTGCCGAGGGCTTCTCGTCTGCAGTGGCCGGCTCGACATGGTCAGAGTCCACCGCCACCACCTCATACCCGGGGGCTTCGAGCTCGGTCAGATGATCTCTGATCCCCTGGAAGACGGAGGCGTAACAGATGGCCCGCGTTGGGCTCCATCGTGCGGCGTACGCCCTCAGGTAGTCCTCCCTGCCGAAGGCGGCGGCAAAGTCCCGGTTGAAGAGGGCCTGCTTGATCTCTTGGAGGACATTGGGGAAATCGCCGGATGACAGGACTGTCGCAAATGCTGACGAGAAGATGTCAAGGAGGTTCTGCTGTGACCGGAAGGATATGTTGATCCGCGGATTGGGGGAGTCGGCGGGCTTGGATGGGGCCGGCCGCGGCTTGGGGGGGTGCGATTTCTTGGCAGATTGCTTCTTGACCATGGTTTAGTTTTGGTATCTAGGATCTATCGCGGACAAAGGGATGGTCGAGGTTGCGGGCTGATTACGCAGGTTTTACTCAGGATTGTATAAAAAATCGATGTGTTTGGTGGTGGGAGAAACCAACCAGTCAGGTATCAGGAATGTACAAGCCAGAAATACTAATTAATTGAAAACACACCCCAAGAGTGAGGTAATGAGAAAAACCTAGGACAGTTCAAGCCATGCTTCGTTATTCATAATTACATTAAACATTTTTCTTTAACCCGCTACTTATCAACGTGTCATGGATGGAGGCATCATGACCTGGTATAGGGTAAGCGAGGGTGGGTGAAGGAATTGGACCTGAGGTTTGAAACATGGCTGCAGACTTCAAAGATTTTTAAACTATTTTCTGACCAGCAATGATCGGCTTGTAGACAATCTAATGTCATTAATTTTTTGGTATGATATGCAAGATCACCATTACGGTAACGAGATCGGTGCCCGTAGCTTCCGCCAGACCATAGACCACCAATGGTTGGATAGACACTTGCATGAGCTGAACTGGAAGCTAGGAACATGCCAATTGGCGCAATGTGTGCAGATTCTACATGTGGCTTATATCAATGGCATCTAGAAAGTCCATAAAGAAAGGATATCGGGTTGGCCCATTGTATAGCCTACTGACGACCTAGATCTTGTTGATGGACTTCGAGACTTGGACCACATGACCTCGTGGTATTCGTGGCTATTCTGGTAGCGTGCCAATCACGACGGTTTGCGAACTCCCTGATGCCCCCCACGTGGAAGAATCAATCCAAAGACACGTCCCGAAATGGCAATCACACATCGTGGAATTGATGGTCAGGGTGAGAGAGGCCCTGCCTATCCCTACTTGGGCGGATGGCGGGCAGGGCCTATATTGAGACCGGAAGAGAGTCAACTCAGGCAAGATCCGCCGGACAGGTAGATATTTCCCCATGGGACAACATTGATTGCATCTGTAGACTAGTATTGCTTCATTCTAGACCTGGGACACCAAAACGGAGGGATGCGATGGATGCTACCCAATCCGCTTCCACACCTCATTACTCGCCATTTGGTCATGGTTGGGTAAGGCCCGCCAGCCAACTCCATACCCAGGCCCTTGGTTTTTTAAACTTTTCCTAGCCAAGGCATCCAGCGTTTGTCATGACAGAGCGCTCTGTCAATGCTTACAGGACAACTACTAATTGTCATTTTGCATCCGGCGACGTCACCAGCTGCCCCTCAAACGCTGGTTCCCCTCCAAACAGTGGGTCTCGAAGAGGTTTCGGGATGTCGAGAGCGGTATCACAGAGTTTGATGCTGTCTGAAGTCATCGGGCGGGAGAACGGATCAATCTCTGCCAGGTGAGGCCAACCATAACGTGCGATGCGAAAAAATAAACGTTTTAGACGGAGATTATTCCGTCACCATCCGCAGATTTTTTCGCTTTTGCGTCTAGCGGTTCAAGGTAACTGGAGCAGGAGTCGGTTAGGGAGGGGCGAACGGACAGGTCGGGCGTGAGACCCAGATATCGGCGGCCTGTCAGCCTTTCAGTGGCTATCGCCCCACTTCTAGTGCCCCCCAACAGGGCCGCCGAGGGGCTCTTCTCAACACCACACCCAGCTTTGAGTGGCTACAGAGTACATGCCGAGCTCCCCGAGTCGCGCACATCATTGCCCATTGATGGGCTTGAACTGAGTACTCTCAAGTACATGTCTTGGAGAGGATCCACCCTGGTACTGACTAGAGCGTTTGTTTCAATGCTCTGGGATGCTGTGTCGTGTCCTGCTAGGAGAGACCTGCGAGGATGTCTCAGCGGAAGCGAGTAGGACAGTGGGATGTACCTGTGATCTTAGCGGAGGTACCTCATCGAGGGGTGCGTGCATGTAGACGTGTCTGGTCATTGGTGGGCTAACACAGCTAGATGTCGGAGATGTACATCGTTGGACAGCAATTGATGTAATTGCAGACAGTTCGTAGCGGCAATACTGAACGATCCCACCTTGGTATATCCCGCCTTTTTTGGAAGGGAGCTCCATAGAGGTGCCTGAGAGCAAGCTAAATAACCTGGCCAACGACCCAACCCCTCCTCGAAAGTTTGTTCATCAACTCCCTCCTTCCTCCCTGGATTTTCCTCTTCCTTCCATCCACATTCACTCCTCCCATTTTCTTCATACCAGGAGAATTCATATCACAACCGCAATCATGGGTTTCGGCGAGATTGATCAGAAGGCAATCAACTCCATCCGCGTTCTGGCGGTACGTCACTCCCGACACAATGCCCCTCACTTGATTTCGTCCTGCCCCGCGATTTGATGGCGATGGCATTGGAGCAACGCGCGCCCTCGCCTTTTGTTGGGATTTCAGCTAATATGGATTTTCTAGGTGGATGCCACCTTTGCCAGCAACTCTGGACACCCTGGTGCTCCCATGTAAGTCTTTTTGCCCAGCTCATTGGAGCTGCTGCTTGCCATTGCTGAATGGAAACTAATCCGCTTAATCTAGGGGCATGGCGCCGGTCGCTCACGTCCTGTTCAACAACTTCATGAAGTTCAACCCCAAGAACCCCGACTGGTTGAACCGTGATCGTTTCGTTCTCTCGTAAGTCGCCCATTTAGCTCCATTAGGAAGCTATGGCTTCGGTTAGACTGACATTTTCCTTTCCAGTAACGGCCACGGCTGCATGCTTCAATATGCTCTCCTTCACCTGTTCGGCTACGCCCTCTCCATTGACGACCTCAAGGCCTTCCGAGTAAGCTAATAAACCTGACAACGCAATTGAATACTAGACGGGAACCGAAGCTAATTGATCTATCCAGACAGTCGACAGCATCACCCCCGGCCACCCCGAGGCTCACGATACCCCAGGTATTGAGGTGACCACTGGTCCTCTGGGACAGGGTATTTGCAATGCCGTCGGTCTTGCCATGGCCCAGGCTCACACTGCCGCCACCTTCAACAAGCCCGGATTCACCATCTCTGACAACTACACCTACTGCTTCCTCGGCGATGGTTGCTTGATGGAGGGTGTCTCTAGTGAGGCCTCCTCTCTCGCTGGTCACCTCCAGCTGGGCAACCTGATTGCCATCTACGACGACAACCATATTTCTATTGACGGAGATACCAACGTCGCCTTCACTGAGGACGTTGTCAAGCGTTATGAATCCTACGGCTGGGAGGTTCTCGTCGTTGACGATGGTGACAACGACCTCAACTCCATTGAGGCTGCCATCAAGAAGGCCCAGCAGTCCAAGGACAAGCCTACCATCATCAAGCTCCGAACCACCATTGGTTACGGATCTCTAAACCAGGGCACCCACGGTGTCCACGGTTCTCCCCTTAAGGCTGACGATATCAAGCAGCTCAAGCAAAAGTTCGGCTTCAACCCCGACGAGAGCTTCGCTGTTCCCCAGGAGGTCTACGACTTCTACGGCAAGCACTCCTCCGCCGGTGCTGCCGCTGAGGAAGAGTGGAACAAGCTCCTCGCTCAGTACGCCGAGAAGTTCCCTAAGGAGCATGCCGACCTCATTCGCCGCCAGACTGGTGACCTCCCCGAGGGCTGGGAGAAGGCCCTCCCAGTCTACACTCCTGCTGACCCCGCCATCGCTTCCCGCAAGCTCTCCGAGACTGTTCTGTCCAAAGTCGAGAGCGTCATTCCCGAGCTGTTCGGTGGTTCCGCTGACTTGACTGGCTCTAACCTTACCCGCTGGAAGGAGGCTGTTGACTTCCAGGCCCCCTCCACCGGCCTCGGTGACTACGCTGGTCGCTATGTCCGCTACGGTGTCCGTGAGCACGCCATGGGTGCCATCATGAACGGTCTTGCCGCTTACGGTACCGTTCTGCCATACTCCGGCACTTTCCTCAACTTCGTCTCCTACGCTGCCGGTGCCGTCCGTCTGTCTGCCCTTTCCCGGGTCCGCACTATCTGGGTCGCAACCCACGACTCCATTGGTCTTGGTGAGGACGGCCCTACTCACCAGCCTATTGAGACTCTGGCTCACTTCCGTGCCCTCCCCAACAACATGGTCTGGCGCCCTGCCGACGGTAACGAGACTAGCGCTGCCTACTACGTTGCCCTGACCTCCAAGCACACCCCCAGCATCATTGCTCTGTCTCGCCAGAACCTTCCTCAGCTCGAGGGCTCTACCCTCGAGAAGGCCATCAAGGGTGGTTACGTTCTGCAGGAGGTTGAGGGTGCTCAGATCACTCTCATCTCCACTGGTTCCGAGGTTGGTATCACCGTTGACGCTGCCAAGTACCTCTTGGACAATCACAGCATCAAGGCCCGTATTGTCTCCATCCCCTCATTTGAGGTCTTCGACTCCCAGTCTAAGGAGTACCGCCTCTCCGTCCTCCCCGATGGCATTCCTTCCCTCTCCATTGAGGTCATGACCACCTTGGGCTGGGAGCGATACAGCCACGAGCAGTTCGGTATCAACCGCTTCGGTGCTTCCGGTGCCTACAAGGACGTCTACAAGGTGAGTTCACTCAAAATCCATTGCTGCTTGAGCCAGTACGCTGACACGATATGTAGAAATTCGAGTTCACCCCTGAGGGTATCAGCAAGCGCGCCGTCGCTACCATCAACTTCTGGAAGGATGTTCCCAATATCCGCTCCCCTATCAACCGTGCTTTTGAACAGCTGATCTAAAAGTCTGGCTGTATCGGATAAAATGAAGGATTTACAGGCTGATGAAATGCTGGGTATGGAGCATGTGATTGATTTATGACTTTTATTCTTTCTGGCAATAATAAATAGACCAAACGTAAAAAGAGGACTGAATGACATGATGGAAATGAGATGTATCCATCTGCTACGACGTGTGACTTCACTCGACGTGACTGACATCTATAACTCCGCGCTGCCGAAAGGTAACAGATCCCAAAAAAGAGACTTTTCCATCAATACTCCATACCAGGTAGTTCTGACCAAGTTCCCATTCCCGTGAAATTGCAATAAGGTGGGCTGAGGGAGAATTGTTGCGACGTAATGCGATGTGATGCGATGCTGACAGGGACTTTGGAAAGGATGGTGAAACAAAGGGACGGACTATCGTGAGCGTGCTTCAAGAGTTTTCGCTCGCCCATTCTCTCTGGAAATCCCTCCCAACTCTTTCGAGTTTCGCGGCTGCCTTTCTTGCCTCTCGGGCTTGATCGGCCGAGCCAGCGACAACGATAGAGACCAGGGCCGGTGGAGCATCCTCAGCCTGGAGGTCGCCGTCGGAGCTCGCTGGGCGGTCGTCTACCTCTCCAACTTCCCCCTCCCATTCTCCAGCCTTCTGGCTCTCTCCATTCGCACCGCCCTCGTCCTTGGCCGTCGGGGGCCGGGACCGTTCATGGCGCTGTGTAGGAACTCGAACGGCGGCGGGGTCGAGGAAGGACTGGAGAATGACGGGGCCGCGGTCGGGGTATTCGACCATGATGCGCTCCGGGGCGCCGAGCTTCACTCGCTGGCAGGCGGTTTGGGACGCCAGGGCCGTGTTGGAGAGCGCCGTGAGCGACTCCAGGTGGGATTGGGACCTCGAGGAGCTGATGAGGGGCGTGAGTGAGACATCGGTGAGGTGCATGGAGATGGCGGGGTGCTGGGAGGGTAGGCTGGTCATGGCGGGCGAGCGCTGGAGGGAAGTTGAGTCCCCTGCTGCTCACACGATCGAGGGAGGCCAGGAAGTCTGGAGATGAGGCTCTGGGACGGGGACAGGAGGAGCGGGGTGTGTGGATTGGAATGAGGAGGAGGAGGAGAAAGGGCCATTGAACGTAGGTATTTAATCGACGGAATGGTGTCGATTGTGTCTGTTGGGGCGCTTTCTACATACACCCATACATATCTGAGATCAACCATGGCCCCCGTCTTCCCCTCCTCTTCGCGCTTGCCTCCCACATCATCTGCCATATCGCTACCTACCTCTCTGGCCTTTTACCCCACTATCTCTGCTGCATGCCCTTCGCGCTGGAGTGGTGAGGTGCGTGCAGGGGGGGAGGAGTTTGGCTCAGTTCACCTGAAGAGCTATAGCGCGTGCACCATATGACGACATGGGCTCGAGCGATCTCGTGCATTGCCGACAATGGGAGACGGACCCGACCGAGCTTTACCAGTTTACCTGTTAGCAGGCTCGGTATGGTCAAACCTCAAATTGCTGCTAGCACTGATTACGCCTAGAAACTTGGCCGGCTGGGAGGGGGGAGAGCGGACGACAATAGGAACGAAGGTTGAGGGGTAGGAGGAGCCCCTAGAGAGCGCTCCCAGGCCTCCAACACCTGTTCTGCGCAAATGTCTTGGGCTCTAGGTATTTGTTATATAAAACAACGGACGCTGAACCGGGATCGCCAGTGGTTGACAACCTGCGGGGCTAGCGAGTGAACTGGATTAGGGCACTACGGAGAGCTCCACGGCCGATCGCTCCGAAGTTGGGGAGAGTGCAACGGTCGTGTACCGGACCTGGCTCCCGTCACTGGCCATGGCCGACCTTGAGGAGGGGAGGGCCCAGTTGTAGAAGGGTGTGCAGGCGCCCGCGATGCCAAACGAATATGTGTTTGCGCTGCGAGCCAGTGTTCGGGATCCCGCACTGCACTGTGGTTGACAGCAGGCCCTGCCGCCAGAGAGACGTTTGCTCTAAGCTCATTCTTGCATGATATGAGCTAACTAGTTGACCCTCTCTTTATCTTCCACCTACCTATCTACATCTAGACTACGTTCAAACTACATCACTAGCATAAGCAGGCAATCTGGATGCTATCCTCGGTTGTGGGCTGTGACGAGCGAGCAAGCACTCGCTGATGGGGTCGGCTAAGGAGGGGGAGGGCTCTTATGGGGACACGCATAAATGTTGATTCCCACATGTTAACTTCCCTCACGTCGGATGCCAGGCAAGCATGGTGGCACTGATCGATGTTGTGCGTCTGACACACGAGCTTCCGGTTGTTCAACTGCCAGTCGTTTCACCAGGGTTGAAACCAAATAAGACCTATTTCGGCGATGCGCTGGCTTCGTCTTTTGGGTGTACTCTTAAAACCTGCACGGTCGACCAGTGGTCACCTTGCTGCTGGCTGCTTCATAAGCGGATCGCATTATCGATCAATAGGCATGCAGAGCCAGAGCAAGAGGAGGGGGGGAAGATGGAGTCCGGCTACCACGTAGCCAGCTGGAGACGATTGGTAGCTTAACTCCGCTTCCTCCAAGTCTGACCAGTCGCACAAGCTATCTGCCATGCTGGACAGCAATCACCTTTTTTTCTATCCTCGTTCCCGGCGTATGGCAGATATTATTCTCGCTGCCTGATTTGCAAGGGAGCAAGGAGTGTGTTGTTTGAAGAATCCGGCATGACTTTGCTAATGCAATTGGATGCGGAATGGATGTCGCATTATGGCATTGCTGTCCCAGCGGGTCCTGTTCGTGGATGGTTCTAGAGGACTCTTGTTGTTGTCCGGGCACACAGATAGGAGTAGGTGCGGGCAAGGTTTGGGAATGGGGGAGGAGCCGTAGCAGAATGGAGGATTGTTAAGGTGATGTGATGGATGCATGCGTGCATCGATGCCTGTTGCTGGAACGAATGATCGCAACAGACCAGCCTATGGGCCGACGGCCTGGCAATGGGTGTTAGTGGTGAAACAATGCCAAACCAGCACGCTACGGCACAGGGCACGGGCAGCCACCCAAGCCAGCCCGAAGTACCATCCCACCCGTTTTGCGTGCCATGCGACATGATCACCCTCAACCCAGGCCAGCATCCAGCGCTGGTGTGGAACTTTTTTTTCAACTTGCCCCAAAAGCTTGGTGGAGTGCATCGCCATCGACTTCTCATCAACCCTTCTCTCACTCTTCCATTTCTCTCCCCCCTTCTTCTTTTGCTCTCCCCCCTTATTCCTACATCCGAGCTGTCCTCAAGTGTGCCTGGGAGTGCTATTGTTCCGCCCACGGCCATTCCTCAGCCAGCCGGTTTCCGTTTTCTTTGCATTGGCTTCTATTCTCTTTTGGGTTTCTTCTGGCGCCGCAGGGTTTGGTTGGGCCACGTCCAACGTGTTGTCGTTTCTTTTTGCTCCGATTTCCCATCAGCTTTCCCGGACGCTGGCACATGGTCGCTCGCCTCCGTCCTCTTAATCCCCCCCTGACCCCTCGCCCGACCCTCTATCCATCGACACTCCCCGTCTAACCCGTCACAACATGGCTGCTGCAAGGCGGAGAAAGATCGGCCATCGCCGCAGAGTCGAGGACGAGGGCGACGATGATGGCGGCCCGGAAGGCCTCGAACTCGATGATGACTCGATGACCGACGGATCGTCAGGAACCGACGATGGAGATGCCTCCGAGGATAGCGATACCAGTAACATTGATGAGATGTCACCCACCGGCCCGGACGCTCGAAAGACTACGAACGGAGTTCCTAAAACGACCACCCGCACATCGGCCGTCAAGAACAACGCCCAACCCGAGAAGAAGGCTGTCACAGATACGGAGATGATGTTGAATGGCCTCACCATCGCGGACGATTCTGCACCTGCTGAGGATCTTCACTTCGACCAGGTCTCGACGGCAGCGCCCAAGTCGCCATCGGCGCCAGTGGTTGTCAGCTCCGCATCCGCCGCTCGCCCGCCCGCCGAGTCGTCTGAGAATCGCCGCCGCCAGGAGCATGATAGTTACAGGCGGAAAAGGGATGAGGACCCAGCCTTTGTGCCCAATCGGGGATCCTTCTTCATGCATGACCATCGCCATGCTGGCCCTGCTGCGAATGGGTTCCGACCTTTCGGTAGGGGTCGAGGTCGGGGAGGCTTCGGTGGTGGTGTCGGGGGACCGTTTTCTCCAATGAAGTAAGTTCTATCGGATGCTCATGCTTGCGTCTTGCCGCTGACCTGCTCTCCTTAGTTCGATGCACCGCCCGAATGACCCTACGACTAATTCTCAGTGGACTCATGATATGCATGAAACCGTCGTCGAGCCGACAAGACCCCGGCATCGCCATATGAATAGCAGCGAAGGCCCGGCGAACGGCAACGGCTTCATTCCAACTTGCCAACCGAATCCAACACCGATCAATCGCACACTGTCTACAGAGAAGCACATCGGAAATGCCCAGATTCGAGTCCTCCTACCGGAGATGAAGGCGCCGGTCGTCAAGCCGGGTGTGGCCGTCAAGCAATACACCAAGCTCCCTGATCACCGACCGCCTCTTCGACGAGACAAGCCCGTTCGAATTTCCCTTCCTCAGCGCCCACCTCGATACATTTACCCCGCTGTTGATAGGTCCTTCGTCTTCATCCCTCGCGCCATGCGCCCCAACCAGCAACGCACGCGTGGAGGAAAACCCCGTTCCGGATATGGTTCTGTCGGGGGCTTTTCAAGGCGGACGAGTGTCTTTGGTGGTAGCTACTATGGCAGCATGTATTCCCCGAGCATCGCTATGAGCAGGAGGTCTTCCATTGGGTATGACCGTGAGAGTACATTCTCTCCTGCGGGATCTGTCATGTCTCGCTCTGCTATGCCTGTCGATAACCCAAGGCCGGTTGTCCGCTTGCCTCCAGCTCCACGCCCAGATGTGCTGGCCACAGGGCTCGTTGACGTTTCTGGACCACCGGCTCTCCAGGTTCCTGTTGTCCCCAACATGGTACCACCACCTCAGCCCCCTATGCAAGAAAACCGTCCCGCCGATATTCCTATCCACCAGCCTCGTCCCAAGAAGAATATCTCTGTAGCGGATATAGAGTCACCCGCTCTCTCTCAAGGACCTCATGCCTTCCAACAACCATTCCAACAACCATTCCATCAACAAATGCCCGTTCAAGTATCTAATGGGTACCAGAAGGAAACACACTCCCGCCAACCTTCGCACCTGTCTCATCCCTCGGTCGGAACACCCTTGTCTCAGATCCCAGAGCGAGCCATTCATGCTGCTCCGTTTCAGCCAAACGTCTATGGACAGCCGCAATATTACAATCACCAACCTTACCAAGGCCAGGCCCAGCAGCCGTACTATTACCCTCAGGGCTATTCCACACCCAGCATGCCTGGCCAAGCTCCTGTGCCTCAATACCTTGGCGCCGGACAGCAGCCGCCTCCCAGTGGCTTTCCCCCTCAAAACCAACCTGGTCAGATGCCTGGCCACCCCGTTGGTCCCGGGCCAGTTCCGCCTGCCAATAACTTAGTTGCCCAAGAGGCCAATGGCATGGTCTACTACTACGACGCCTCACAAATTCCACAAATTCCACAAATGAATACATACCAACCCTATTCGACCCCTCAGAGTTATCAACCTGGAGTCATGGGCATGGGCGGCATGGTAACGCCAAGCCCAGATGGCTACTACTACCCCCAACCAGCGCCAGGTATGGTTTACTATTCTCAATAAATAAAATACCCGATTTCATCGAAGGTCATCCTTGGATGACCCTGGAGCACACCTTTTTTTTTTCACTGTGCCTATTTTAGCTACCTCTTCTCCGTCTCTATCCACGCTGTGATGCGTGCAGTTGGCGATAACTCTTGGGCCTGGCGGCAAGGGCTCAGCGTTGCCACATGAGATTTGGAAGTGTCTTTCAACAACTGAGACACGTTGTTGGTCTATTTGTACCTGTTTTAATATCCTGGGCATCAAGCATTGACGGAGCCTCGCAA